CGAAGACCATAATAGTGAGTAGGAATCCCTACATCAAATTCGGAGCTCAAGGGAAGAAGATGACGAAACTCAACGTGCTCCAAAACTCAAAATTTAAATTTTCGGATCAAGGTAAAGCCCTCGACGATCAACCCAACTTTTGTGAAGACCAAAGGTGAGGAAAACACCCTACCTAGATCAATACGTAGAGAGAAGTTATGGTTTTAGAGAGAGGAGCTCTCAAATGGCTTTTTGGAAAACTAAGAGGGAGAGAGAGGATGCAAAAAGTGATTTTAAAATGCCCAGCTGCCAACTGTTATACGACATTCCCGCTCGAGCGGAGAACACAACGCTCGAGTGTCAAGAACAAAAATTTGGACACGCTCGAGCTCAAGAAGGCCCGCTCGAGCGCCAAGACACAAGAATAAAGCACATCCGCTCGAGCGCGAAAACCAGTCCGCTCGAGCGTATATTTCCCCCTCCCAGAACTTACACCAAAAAGGTACTACCCGCTCGAGCGCCAGAGTACCCGCTCGAGTGCCACCGTTCGTACGTAAAGAAACCCGCTCGAGCGTAAAAATCACACCTGCAAAAGTTTTGCAGGGACACGAAAAACTGGGAGTGTGCAATATCCGCCCGAGCACAAAAAGACCCGTTCGAGCGGAACGACCAAAAACCCGGCAACAAGATTTCAGACCAAGGTTCAACCCACCTGTTCGAAACAAGCCCAACACATCCTATAACTCAAACAAACGGAATTAAAGGATGGCAACAAGATAGATACAACACTCAACTCCACATAACTAAGTCCGGAATACAACAGAATAGTAAAGGGACAACCGGGATCGCTATATCTAATGCCTTATATCCTCTTTTGGATGGATTTTTCTCCAATTTTCTCTAACAAGTGCTCATATTATTAACTATTTCAAAAAATAATAAAATTTAATTGATCTTTTTTCATTCAACCAGTAGTTGCCCAACTGATGGAATAGAATAGCTTAGGTTGTCGCTTAAAGTCTGGGTAGAAGAGGGCTATATATTATTTAGGGTGGTGTTAATAGTCGTTACATTTTTTTTAAGGACCTTGTCTATTGATATTTTTTTTAATGATAATTATAACTTCAATAAAAATTACTATAATAGATACAAATTAAAACAGAACACCCACCCTCACTAAAATAATATTAAGAATTAAACACTCAACCCTGACAAACCAAATTGTACACCAACCCTATCAAATCAAAGCGAAAACCTAACGCACATGTCTACAAGTCAGGCTTTGGCAGTGATGATGAAAAATCTCATCAAATTTTTTTAAAAGGAGATGTGGCGCAGAAATACTCAAAGCAGAGGTTGAAGGAGCTATATTCGATTGTATAAAAATAGTGCGCTTAAAAATTGCTCTGATTTAGTTGAAATCGAATTCATCATTTTACAGTATCTAATTCAATCACTATCAAAATACAAATGAAAAATGTGCATTACTACCAGTTTATAAATTCAAACATATACTAATTTTTTAATATTATATATTTTATTATTAATTTTTTTTTTTCCAAAAGAATATACAACAAATTATTTTCTAGTGTACTTAGATTAAGTGAATCTAAATCTAAAAGTAGAATTTAAAAATTAAAAAATATTAAATTAAATCTAAAAAAATAAAAGCATTATTAAAAAAAAAAACAATGTCAAAGACCAAAAACATAAAAACCAAAAAATCTACTATCTACTACTATTATAAAAGTGTGAAGAGCCTGCCATGTTTTTTACTTTTTTAAATCTTAATTTTACCCTCTCAAATCTACTATATTTTCTAAAAGTCATTCTATATAAACCAACTATCTATTTATTCTTGGAGTTGTACACTCAAAAATGATATATCTGCTTCCAATAGTCCTATATAAGCATAAACAAAATCATCTCCTTTCTTATAAAAAAAAATTAAAAAAAAATTGTCTCCCTATTTTTTACATTGATGATGATTGATGAACAAAAAATAATTATTCTTTTTTATTTCTTATGTCTACTTCTATACTGATATACATAATATTTACAATTGTCCATCATGAAACAAATCACTATAAATAATTTTGGTTGAATCTTAAAGTTGTATGCCTTCGTTTGAATCTAAAGAGAGGAAAGCACATGCATCATTAAAATAGAGATTTGTGCTGCATTTCAAAAATTCGCAGGTTATCTTCATACACTTTCTTTTTGTTTAATTATATTTTATGAACTGTAATATTTTACATGGTACTTTAATAACCAAGGTATGATATCAAAATTGCAAACAAAAACCACTTTCGTTAGTTTTATTTTTTAAATGTGATTTTTAATTTTTCATATTTTCTCAATTTTTGTGATTAAAGATACTGAAATTTGTTCACATTTTATATTTAAATTATATTTTGAGGATATTCCGTCAAAGCCCAAGAATAGCTAGTTCCGTGATGAAGCCGAGCTGCAGCTCAGTCTATGTGATTGCATCAGCTTAAAAATATATCAGTTAGATAGCTTGTTAAACAGTTAGTTTGTTAGACAGTTACAAGTAATTAGCACATGTGATTAGATACATATCTCTTGTATAGGTATAGCTATAGCTTTGTATATATAAGCATAGCTTGTACATTCAAATAATATGGAATAAGAGATTCATCTTTTCTTCATGGTATCAGAGCATTGAAGCTCCAACGAGCATTCTTCCATTGTAGCTTTCACATCATCTCTGTCTTCAACTATTCCATCAAATCTTTCACTTCTGATCTCCAATTTGTCTTCATTTGTTACAATTAAACTTGACTCTACCAATTTCATTATTTGGAGCAGGCAAGTCTCTAATATCCTTCGAGCTACCAATCTTCTTGGATATGTTGATGGTTCCATTCTTTGTCCTTCTTCTATGATCATTGATGGAAATGGTCTTGAAGTAACCAATCCAGATTTCGTTCAATGGAATCTAATTGATGCTCACTTGTTGAGTTGTCTCAATGCTACTATATCTCCTTCGATCTATTCAACCTTTCTTCAATTTCATCATTATGCCGAAGTCTGGTCTGCTCTTCACAAGAAATTCATTTCTCTTCCAAGATCACATATCCATCAGCTGAAGAATAAATTGAATTCTGTTATGAAGAGGTCTAAATCAATGGAGGAATATCTTTCAAAAATCAAAGACACAGTAAGTCAGTTAACTCTTGCATCAGTAGCTATTGATGATGAAGATCTTGTTTTATTAACCTTGAATGGTCTTCCTAATGAGTTTGATGCCTTCAAGACAACAATTCGAGCCAAATCTAGCTGCATTTCAATGGAAGAGTTGTCTTCTCTTTTGTGTTCTGAAGCAGTTCATATGGAAGCAAAAACTAAAAAGGTTTTTGAACTGACAGTAACATTTTCTACTGTCAATGGTTTTGCTTCTCCTTCTTCTTCTAACTTTTCACCTCGAGGACATTCATCTCGAGGTAGATCCTCTTTCAGAGGAGGAAGAGGAGGCAAATTTTACAAAGGCAATGGCAATGGCAAATTCTCTAGCCATTTCACTCGAGGCAGAGGAAGATATTCATAAAACTCTCACAACTCTCAAGCTTGTCAAATTTGTGGAGGCTTTGGTCATTTAGCTTTTGATTGTTGGCACAGAATGGACTCTTAATATCAGTCTTTACCTCCTAATGCCAATGCCAGTGTTTCTTCATCATTAGCCCCTAGGGCCTTTGTTGTTTCTTCATCTAACGATGTCTCATCATCATCATTAGTCCCATGGTACCTAGACTCTGCTACTGATGATCACATCACCAATGATCTCAATAATCTTACCTATTATCAACCATATCAAGGAGCTGACCAGGTCACTATTGGAAACGGCACTTCTGTCCCTATCAATCACACTGGTAAAGGAATTTTACCCACTTCACACCATTCATTTCAAATTAAAAATATTCTTCATTCATCATCTATTTCTTCAAATCTTGTCTTAGTTCAAAAGTTAGCTCAAGATAATCATTCCATCATAACATTTGATGATTCTAACTTTGTGATTTAGGAAAAACTTACAAAGAAAGTTCTTCACAAGGGATGTAACATCAATGGACTTTACCATTTTCTTTCATGACCTGTTTCTTCATCTACTGCTTCTCCATTTTGTTCCCACGCCTATGTTACTAGTACTGATGTATCTACTTCTGTTACACCTACTATTTGGCATAATAAACTAGGCCATCCTTCCTCGTTAGAATTTTATCATCTTAAACATCATTTGCATCTTAAATCCGTAAATCATGCTACTCAAGATTGTGTAGACTGTTGTGTTGCTAAAAGTCATAGACTTCCTTTTCAATTGTCAAATTCAAGTGTAAATAAGCCTCTTTCACTCATTCATCGTGATGTTTGGGGCCCTTTCCATTCTTCTTCTACTTACAAATACTATGTGATTTTTGTGTATGAGTATAGTAAGTTTACTTGGTTGTATCCTCTAGTCTACAAAAAGTAAGGTCTATGACAAATTCTTGGAATTCAAAGCTTATGCTGAGAAACAATTTGATACTGTTTTAAAAATACTTCGCACTAATGGAGGAACTGAGTTTTGTAATAATAAAATGAAGGAGTTTATTGTTGTTAATGGCATTATTCACCAACATTCTTGCCCATACACTTCACCACAAAATGGTACTGCTGAAAGAAAACACAGCCATATCACAGAGACAACAGTTGCATTGCTTCATCACTCCTCTATGCCTCTTAAATTCTGGTTTCAAGCAGTTACTGCTACCAGTTACTTGATTCATAGACTTCCTTCTACTCAGTTGCAAAACTAATCTCCTTTTGAAGTCTTATATCATCACCCTCCAAATTACTCTTTTCTCAGGGTCGTTGGTTGTCTTTGTTATTCTTAGCTTCAGCCTTATTCTTCTACTAAACTCCATCCTAAGTCTCTATCTTGTGTCTTTCTTGGTTATCATCCCTTTGCTAAGGGGTACAGGTGCCTTGTTCCAGTTCTAGCCGGATTTACCTTTCTAGACATGTCATTTTCAATGAAGTCGTATTTTTTGGGTATTTCCATCCAAACAACTCCCACTGGCTATGTTTTGTCTCAAAAGAAATATACTCAAGATATTCTTAATAAGGCAGGTTTAGCTGATTGTAAACCTTGTCCATCTCCTATATCAATTAAACCTTCCATTGCTCTTGATTCAGCTACTTTGTGTCCTGATCCTGCTCTCTATCGAAGCCTAGTTGGTGCTCTTCAATATCTCACCATAACTCACCCAAATATCTCTTTGGCAGTCAATCACTCTTGCCAACATATGCATTCTCCTACAGTTGGTCATTTTGCTGAAGTCAAAAGACTACTACACTTTGTTAAGGGTACCATTAGGCATTGCCTGACCTATTCTCCTAATTCTTTTGATATTCATGCCTACTCAGATTCTAACTGGGCTGGAGATGTTTCAGATAGAAAATCCACCTCAGGTTATTGTATATTTTTGGGTTCTAACCTTGTGTCTTGGTCAGCCAAAAAGCGAGCCACAGTCTCTCGCTCTTCTACTAAAGCAGAGTACATATTTCCTGCCCATACTACTGCAAAATTAGTTTGGATTGGCATGCTCCTTACTGTAACAAGCCCGCGGGGGACCTCGCTACAGCTCGGACTCGATTTGTAGTTACGGTTCTAAATCTGAACCAAAGAGGAAAAGAAACAGAGAAAACCGAGTCTGGTTCACAAACCGAGACAAGGCACAGAAGAGGGTTCGGAAGTCCGGAGGCGGGGTTCACAGCCGCGACTCTGAAACTTCTGAAAGAGCGCGATATGCAACATCACCAAGCGCTCAACTGGTGACGTCTAAGTCTTAAGGTCGGTCAAAAATGGGGTGTCTACACTTACTGACTTACCTTTTTCCTCCTCTATGCCTCCTACTCTCTGGTGTGAATGTCTCTGCTATTGCTTTGGCATCCAATCTAGTATTTCATTCCAGGTATAAACACATTGAAGTGGACTGCCACTTTGTTCATGATCAAGTTCTTGCTAAAAGACTAGTTCTACGGTATATTCCAACTATTGATTGGCTGACATCTTCACCAAACCTCTCTCTATCTCCAGATTCTTGTATCTCAAAGACAAGCTCATGGAGTGCACTCACCCCATTAGCTTGAAGGGGAATGTTGAGGATATTCCATCAAAGCCCAAGAATAGCTCATAGCTCAGCTCATGTTCTAGTTCAGTGATGAAGCCAAGCTGTAGCTCAGTCTATGTGACTGAATCAGCTTAAAAAGATATTAGTTAGATAGTTTATTAAACAGTTAGTTTGTTAGACAGTTACAAGTAATTAGCACATGCGATTTAGATACATATCTCTTGTATAGGTATAGCTATAGCTATAGCTTTGTATATATAAGCACAGCTTGTACATTCGAATAGTGTGGAATAAAAGATTCATCTTTTCTTCACTTTTACATGAAAATTTAATATCTAATAATCTAAATAGAATTAAAAGGTCAAATATTAGTAAAAAAAAATTATAAATTAAACATGTACTGATTTTTTTATTATTATATGTTTTTTTGTAATTATTATTATTTAATATTAATTATTTTTCTCCAAAAAGAATACGCAACAAATTATTTTCTAAGTGTATTTAGATTAAATGAATCCAAATCTAAAAGTAAAATTAAAAAATAAGAAAGTATTAATTTAACTGAACCTAAAAAGAAAATAAAAATGTTATTAAAAAAAATAGTATCAAAGATTAAAAAAAATGAAAATCAAATAATTCAAAACAAAAATTTGAAAAAAGCAAACCAAATCAAACACTGTATGTCACGCCCCAAAAATTGGAAACATCAGAGAATATATCAACAAATAAATACAAGGTTTATCTAAGATTACAAAATAGGAAACGTCACTAATGAGTCATTTGGTTAATAACCAAGATCCAGGAAGGTCGAAGGAGTCAATATAGCCTCCCTTCAAAGTCCAACTACCTTAAATAGCAAAGCTACCCTTTTGAAAAATCTTAACAAGATATTAACACAAGGTCTACATAAGTCGACGATAAAAGAAGAGTAGGTAATATAAAAGATATGTATAAATATATAATAATTACAAAATAATGTCTTAAATACAACATGGGATTTATCACTTATAATCTCAAAACACATTTACAACTAGTTTCTAATCCTCCTAGGGTAGCCGTACGTCCTCAAATGCTTCAGCTTTGCCTTTGACCAGTCTCATAGTCTTCACTACCTAGCATGAAACGTCATGAGCTTTGAATTCCCAGTCAACGCACACACACACTCCGTCCATTTTTCCCAATCCAATACACCATCACAATTATAACAAGCAAGTAATGAAACATGATAATCATTCAATAATAAAAGATTAAAAGGTTAGATGTTAGTAAACTAGAAATCCTCCAAAGAGACTTCGTCCTCCTAACTACAAGAATCGGACGCAGATTATTCAGTATGCCCCCTCTTTTGCTGCTTTGTTGCAGAACTAAGCTCGGATGCCTACCAACAGTTATATACTGCGTAGTACCAACCGCAGGGCCTCAAAAGAGACAATAATAATGGACCTTGCTCAAATCCCTCCTTACACCAAAATACTTAGGGTCCGAATACAACTGCTCTATTCAAGGGTTTCGAAAACCACTTGCGCAAGACTTTAACTTCCAAATAGGGAACGCATCCCGTCAACCAATCAATATCTTAGTAACTTGTCCAAAAATTCGCAAACCCATTACCACGCATTAAGTTTCCCGTTTGAGTTAGATAATTTTAGTCAGAGTTAGGACATGCTCTTGAAACAACATCTATTGCACAAGTATGAACAACTACATAGCACAATGAAAGGATATAAAGTTACAACACATAAGATTCACATATAAAGATAGGCACAAGTAGCTCTAGGCATATTCAAGTAGTTAAGGGAATAATTTCGCACAAGAATATAAATTTTCAAATTTGCATAAGTGTGAGTACCATCAAAGGACTAAAATAAAAGGTACACAACCATTACATATGTAATCTCATACCAAGATATGACCATATGTTAATAAGCACATTCATGAAGACAAGAGCATAAAACACCAATCCAAAACAAAATTTCCAGATTCTGTACCACTTCAAGATTAAAATTAAAAAGGACGTCTCAGATTTTTCCTGAAGCTGGCCTTCCTATGGTTTGTACAGAATTTTGTCTAGTTTTCAGAACATTTTTCAGAAATGGAATTGTTTTTCTAGATTTTTAGTTATTTAAGGCATACTCCAGCGCTGCCCAGATTTATTGACCGTTTTGAAAATTAGATTTTCTAACAAACCGCTTGCTCTTTTTTGATGAAACCAATTTTACTTGAAATTTAACTCTTTAAGGAAGATTTTGACAACCAAAGTCCAGGAGATTGTTCTACATTTTTCTAGAATTTTCAAAAGTTGGCTGTAAAATAGATTTCTCTTGCACAGCACGCAAAATAAGAAGATTGGTGAGAAAAGAGGCCAACTAAGGGAAATTTTCCACTTCTTTTGTGATGAAAACATACTAAATAATGTACCAATAACTCAGATTTTTAGAGTGATGGTATGCCTTTAAAAAAATGTGAGATATGGGAAGAAAAAAATAGTTTTGAATCAATTAATAGAAAATATGAGTAAGAGAAGAATCAAAGCCCAATTTATCAACTTTGAGCACAAGAACACCATTACAACACATCTAAAAATGTGGTTTTAAATCTCTAATAACATGTATTTGAAAAAGAAAAATAAAAGAGAGTTGTGTTGTGGCTTACTTGATTGCCTAGTGAAGTGTTTGCACAATTTCTTCTCTTTTTCCTTACCTCTACCACCAAAGCTCTCTTCCTCTCTTTTCCTCTCAGCCGAATGAAGTTTTTGTATGTGTATTCTTGTATGTAAAATGCTAAGGGTGAGGTTTCTTTTAGAGGAAAATTGGTGCAAAAGGTCTAAAGTGCCCATTGGTTGGAATTGGATTGGATATTTTAGATTTACTTGGAATCTAATGGAATGGTGAATGATTAGAGGCCTTAATTATATAATTAATCATGCTCTAGTTAGGACTTGGTTAGGAGTGGACTTAGGGTGGCGGCATGGTTCCATGATTTGGAGGTACTTGCCAACACTTTTCCTTGATTTCATGGATATGGTTTGAAAAAGTTGTATAATCTTCTATTCCCTAGGGTGGCTAGCCATGTGGGATGATTTGAGGGAATTAATTTATTTTTTTTCTTGTGTACAATTGTTGGAAATTGCAAAATATAGTGTATAATATAGGTTTAAGGTACAAGTGTATATATATATATAGTACTAGTTTGGGGTCAATTAGTGATTTAGTAAAAATGTGAGGGCCTTGGGTTTAATTCATGTATTGAAACATTTATTTAAGTGCAGTATTTAATTTAATTAGGATCTGAAACTTCAATTCGGTTAAAGTTTCTTTATTTCGAATTAAACAGTGAGTCATAATGAGAACCGAAAGCCTAGGGTTTTTGATTGGCAAATATAGTTAGGGAATTAATTTAATCATTATTAGGGCTTTGGAATGATCCCGGAGTTCTCGGGTTCAATCAAGATTAGCGAGTTTTCAGTTGGCACGTGTTTTTGACCGTACAGCTAAAATTGAAAATAAATAAGGGAATGAGAGTCTTTATTGAAATAGTTCAAAAGTAAGGGTGTAGATAAAATTACAAAGGTCAGGGGCCTCATAGTTCAATAATTAATATTGGAAAATGCTATAGGCCCCAAATTTTTTACCAAATAAATACCCAAATGTCTCACATGGGTGTGGGGTCCACGAATTTGTGGACCCCACACCCATATAAGACATTTGGTCATTTGTTTGGTAGAAAATTTGGTATCTCTAGCATTACTCATTAATATTAGAGTGCAAAAACGATTACTAAGCTATTGGGGTCGATTTGGTTTTGTACGAGTTAATTCGCGATGCGTCTTCGATTCTACAGTTAAATTTGTAAATGAACAAAGAACTAAGGGCTTTATTATAATAACTCAAAATTTAGGGACTTAATAGGGTTTACAAAAGTTAGGGGTCACACACTATAAACTTCTCTTTTTTAAAAATTTTTCTTCACTAATCTCTAATTTTACACAAATTATTCACAAATTCCTTTCAATGTTTATGTGAATTTAATAATCTAATTAAAAAATGGTACTTGCATGCAAAAATGTTACACTAAACATCTACATTATGACAAACTATTTAATTATGAATAATTATCTTCTCATTGTTACCTGTATTACATTGTTGCAAAATATTTCACATATTACTTTTGTGATATCTTTTATATATATATATATATATATATATAAAATACCAATGTCTACATATATAAATATATAAAAACAATATAGATGTAAATTTATATAGGTTATTGTATTCATACATTATCAATTTGTAATGCTATATTACAATCAGATACTTTAATTTTCTAACATGTATCCCTTTAGTAATATAGTTAGATTTGTTAGGGAAAAAACTGCAGAATTGTATATTGTTCTCGTATCAACTTATATTCAATACATATATACATACATGTCATCCAAATAAGTATCCATAACAAACCCTTTCAATAACAAACCAAGACTATGCAAAACACCTACATTACGACAATAATTGTATACTACGACAATTGTATACTAATGACTAATATTATATTTTTCATCATGTAAGATATTCGTGGAACAGGAAACGAGACTCAAAAACTCTTGATGTATAAAAATATATTACATATTGACATGAATGCATTCTTACACCAATAGTATGCAAATAATATGCACTAGTGGGTTCAATGAATTTGTATTATGAGATGAAATATTAAACAAAATTGTGTAATTATGCAATTAATTTCATACCTTCAACTGTATTACAAGTACGGATTATGAAAAATTAAAGTGGAAAGTTGATAGAAAAAGATTTGTGTAATATTATATATTTAAAAGACCTGTTTATTATTTATTATTTAAGATAAGATTGTGATCTCAACACTGTAACTATAAATTAATATTTACATTTATAAAATTTCTCATTTATCATTTAAATTCTGCAGCAGAGTATGTATTCATTTTTTGCTTAGTTTTATTCTGGATACAGATCAATTTATCCATACAAATCTCCATACTTT